TGACAGTGAGCATGGCCTTGCGCTTCAGCAAGCAACGAGGCGTAAGCGTCGCGACGCCTACCCGAGCTTGCGCGCTCGCCGCGCTTCCACCTCGTCGTGTTCGCTGTCGAGGTTGGTGGCCGCTGGGGCCAGGAGCCCACAACCTTCCTCCGCCTCCTCGCACGGGCGCGAGCTGCTCGAGCGCACGCTGCCGTTCGGTCGGCTCTGCGTGCGGCCTATGTGTCCGTCCCGTTGGAGCAGCATCATCGCCGTCGCGGCGCAGAGGGCCCTCGCCGGCTCTTTGCTCGAGCTCCCCCTCGGCACTGTCGCCTCTGCTGCCGGCGAGCTGGCTGTGCATGAGGTCCTGCAAGACGAACGCTGGCTGCATGCCCCCGCCCCCAGCCGCCTCCCAGAGCACCTAGGCTGCACGCGCCACGTAGACTGCAGGTGCACAAAAAGGTGCGTGGGGAAAAAAAAAGATGTCGGTGGGTATGGAATTGTTCTGACACAGCCGCTTGCTCGTCTTGCGTCCTGCGACGGGGCGTGCCGGAGGTGTGTTATGTTGGGAATATATAATTTTTGCAGTTAGCAAAGCACTCGAGTGAACATTCAGTTTCCACACCAGCAAGTTTAGCAGCAGTGTGAGAACTCCGTCCGTCCGTCCGTCTGTCTGTATGTACTTACGTACGCATGCATGTATGTATGTATGTATGTATGTATGTATGTATGTATGTAGGATCTTACTGGACTCGGGTTGTGCTTGACATCGCAATTTTCGAGCTTTCAAGTCATTTTTCGGCTGTTGCCAGCCACTCCCCGGATTTTTTTCCGGGGTGTCCCCAATGCGCTATGTCTCTTGGCGTTTTCAGCAGTGCACGACATCACGGTCCGTGACAGATGTGCTAGACTCACATGCTGAGGCCTCCGAAGATACAGTTGTATGGCGTCGAAGTTCAGAACCTTGGCATGCAGATGAGATCGGGCCAGTTCTTCTTACAGGAAAATTTATTTGCGAAGCATGTTTGGACTGAAACGTTCGCGAGTCCCGATGCGAAAACCTCGTCCAAGACGGTTTTGAGCTTTGCTGTAGCTCCCAGCCTTCTGATTTTGGATTGTTGCTGGGGACGGGTGGCTGGAGGCAATCGGGCTACTGCAGCCTAGAAGGCGGTTGGTATGCGGCTGTAAAAGTCGAAACGGTGGCATAAGCGAGCGCAGACAGGTCCTGACAGATCAACGAACAATACTTCCTTTATTTGCACCTCATTTCCCCGGCTTGCCAGGCTCCTGTGCAATGGCATGGTGCCGCTTGTTAGCCTGGAGTCGTCGCAAAGACCTCGGTGGGTAAGCAATGCGGCACAGGGCAGCATGTAATCGCACGGAATCTGGGAAGATTGTCGAATGAATTCAGGTCTCCCTTCCATGGCTGTGCTTCCTCAATGTTGCAAGTAGCTGTGGACAGCTGTGGCAAGGCGGCACGCCTGCAAAAGCTGAGATTGACCTTCGTCATGATAACATTGTGTGTCGACATGTTGCTGAGCTGTGTCTAAGGTCGATGGCCTCTATCAGCATTGCTCCGATGAGCGGATCCAAAGGGTGCCTTTCCGAAGTTCTGACCGTGATGCAGCTGCTGCAATCACCTGTGCCGTTTCGCATAGCGGACGCACCGAGGACCTGGAGAGAACTTTGAGCCTCCGTCTGTCGGACTATATGCTTGCTCAGGTCATCCGAGGGTTTATCGAAATGGTCGTAGACAAGCCGATTTTTTTGCCTCTTGAGGTGAAGAACTATCCCGATGTCAGAGGGGTTGGACTGACGAAACGGTCGCTGCTGCTTGCTATGGTTTTAGGCCTGCGGCTGAGCAGCAAACCTTTTGCCTCTTGCATTTGCCACTTGCATGAGATTTCTGTGCAAACATCCGACCCACATGGCACTGTTTCACAGAGGTATGCAGCCTTGTGAAGCCGGGTGTTGTTGACAAAGCTCTTGCATCTAGAAGCTTGTGCCCAGAGCACCCGGCACGTGCCCCAAGCAAGCCTAGAGGCAAAGGTGCTAATTGCACACTTTCAGGAGAGGTTCCGCCAGTTGCAGCCATGAGGCGTCAGCCGGGTCTCGCCGGCCTCATGCGGGGACAGGCCCAGCAGAGTGCGCTCAGTGCTGTTGGAGAGCGGATGGAAGCGGACAAGGGCCAGCAAGCCCAAGCTTTGCTGCAGAACTTGCAGAAGTCTTTGGGAGAGTTTGCATCTCGCCATCGCGACCGCATCAACTCAGACCCTCAGTTCCGCAAGTCCTTCTGCGAAATGTGCATTGCTGCCGGTGTGGACCCACTGGCAAGCAGTAAGGGTCTATGGGATGAGCTATTGGGAGTTGGACAGTTCTACAACGACTTGGCGGTTCAAGTGTTAACACTTTGTCTCACAAGCCGGGATGAGAACGGCGGCCTTTTGGATTTGAAGCAGTGTCTGACGACTCTCAGACGCTCTCGCGCTCGGGGCGATCTCGGTTTGGAGGATATCGAAAGAGCGGTGGACTGCTTAGCCCAACTCGGCCCTGGTGTTTCCATCCGAATTTGCGGAAAGCATCGCCTCATCTGCTCCATTCCCGAGGAGCTGAGCGACGATCCGGCCCAAGCATTGGACCTCGCAGCTCGCAGAGGGGGAAAGATCTGTGCTGAGGATTTGATCAAGAGCGGATGGGGTTCAGAGCGGGCTGAGAGTGCTCTCCGTCATTGCATCCGTGAGGGCCTGTGCTGGGTTGACACCCAAGATGACTTGGTGCCCACGTGGTGCTGGTTTCCGAGCATTGCCCTTGCAGAGATGGACAAAGGGAGCGACTCCTGACACAGGGGTTTAGGGTTTAGGGTTTAGGGTTCTAGTTCCTAGTGTTTCACCTGAGACTCGCAAGATTCGGATTGGCGACAAAAGATTTGGAGCCTTTGGGCTCTGGTCTTGCCCTGGCCCCAAACCCTATTAACTTGTAACCCTAAGCCGAGCACATTTTGCCTTCAAGGTCTGGGCTTGACCGGCACCGTGAAGACCAAGAAGTTGCAGCTCCGGCTGCAAGGAAGAAGCTCTGAGGAACTCCGATGCGGGATCGTCTTCTGAGGTGGTCAGCGATGAGCGAATTCGACCCAGAAGTGGCCAAAAAGTTCGATGAACTGCTGACTGCTTGCTGGGAAGCACCACAAACGAAGCAGACAGACAACAGCTGGTGGAAGTGCTTTGGCTTAGTTGAGTGCTTTTCAGGGTTTGTCGGGTGCCAACACGGCATGTCCTACGGTTAGCGTCAATCTCATCTAAGTTCTGGCAGTGGCGCGTGGGGTGGAGGCCTGGTCTTTACGAACAATCCTCATGCTGATGCTTTGTTGCGAAGGTGAATATGTGACCATACCATGCGCCACATTGACAGTTCCTGGTAGAGGTAAAAACGATGATGATGATTGGGGTACATGGAGAGGCCAGAGATTTTGCTTTTCTCAGTTTCGTCTCTTCGCCTCGCTTGCTGCTGCAGACCGAAGTCGCTCATCTCGGGGAGGTGCCCCGAGAGTGAGGATCTTGCGTGCTCCCGTCATTTTTCCAGTCTGACCCGGCCTGTGCAGATCGAACTGCCCGCAAAGAAAATGGAGCTTCTTACGGTTGGGCCGAGCCGACCCAAGGCCGGGCATCTCCCTGGCCCTTGCTGCCCTTGCTGCCCTTGCTCTATCTCATCCTATCTCATCCTATCTCACTCCCCTCCCCTCGGCCTCGCTCCATCTCTCCCTCACCCGCACCCGCATCCTCTCGCTCTCACTCTTCCCTTCCCCGTACGTGTCAGACAGGCAAGCAGAAAGCCAAGGAGGCCGTCGCAGTTTTTTGGGGGCGGCTGCGCACCCGAATGTGATTGCGAGCAGGAGCCTGCTCCAAAGAAGGCGAAGCTTGCTCAGAAACTGTCGCAGGCCATGATATCTGCTTGCTTGGCTTCCGGCTTCGGGCTACAATGGCCAAGACTTGACAGCTAGCGGCTAGCTGTTTCGCAGGCCAAGAATGACAAGGACAACAAGATCAAGAGCTTTAGGGAGGTTCCTTGCCCGCACCAGCTGCGATATTATGCGATGTCGCTGCCCGTCGCTTCGTCAGGCTTTTATTGACAATCCTGGTCCTCCACGTCAGATGTCCTATGCAAATCAGCATGACGATCGCGCTGACGGCTTTATAGGCATCCCTTCATGTTTTTGACGGCGCCCCGGAGCCGTGCTGCACAGCTGGCACCTAGCAATGTAGCCACGTAGCCGCTGCCAGGGGGTGAGAGCTTCGACACGCGCAGTGAAGGAGGCATTGCAGAATCCATTTGCTGCAGCATGCTGCAGCATTTCTGGGGGATGACACTCGTACTCCAAGTCAGTTTTGCAGCCTTGCGGCCTTGCCGGAGGCAAGTCGACCGCCTCCGGCGAGCCGATAAAGGGCCGCAATACGGACCCTGAGCGCTCCTTCGTTCCTTGGATCGCATCCATCGTGCTCGTCTCCAAACGATACTTGGGACCCTCACGTGATCCTAGATGCGCTTCTGCGGGCAGCCGAAGCCGGAAGATGTTCGGCCACTGCACGTCCTGCGGGAGGCACGTATAGCTCGCGAGCCCATCAACAACGTACGCTATGGAGCAGGGCAGTGTGACGCAGCTTTCAATCTTCCAGGCCCTCGTGCTGGCCAAAGAGAAATGGAGGAGCCAAAAAGATTGGAGCCATGTTGGTGAGATGACTCTCGGACCCACGAAGTGTGAGTGCACCCAAGTGGGTTGCTAATGAAGTCGTGTTCACCCAGCTTGCTCTGCTTTCGTGCTTGCTGCCCAGGTTAAGAAGCATCTCACAAGACTTGAGGGTTCAGCATTTACACAACGGCTTTGCTGTCGAGGCTTGGTTCATGTTGCCGGGAATGTCACAGTTTGAGAGCCGAGATCCCAGCATGCTGGGTGCATCCAGGCTCACGAGTATTGGGCACAAGTCGCCCTCGAGTCCGGGGACTTCCGTGCCTTCAACACAGCAGCGCAAGAGCTGGAGGCCGTTTCTTGACCCGTTGGCGAGGGCCACTGAAAAAAGTCCAGAGGCCTATTACGAGGACCCGGAGCTAGAGCAAGGTGCCGCCAAGGTGAAGGCCAGACGTTTTGCAGGCCAGATTTGAAAGCTCCGGCATGGGCATCTTGCCAGGAGATCTTAGCATGGTACATCCTCTACTTGGCCATCGAGGCTTGACGTCTCAGGATCTCTCCCGCCTTGAGAGCCAATCTTGCCGTACTTGGCAGGGCGAAGGGGTGGCCACCAGCCGCTTCCTGCAGAAGCACTCGAAGCGTCTTGGTGTTGGCGCCGAGAGCACGACACCCGTCGTGCAGTTCGCTCTGAGGCGCCTTTGGGCCCTGTTCCGCACCTTAAAACTGCAGTCAAAGCACCACTTCCCTGTCCAGTCTTCGAAGAAATCTGGCGCAGCAGCGATTTCTGCAAGTCGTTAAGACCCTGGGTTCACAGCCCGCTGACAATAAGAAGCTTGGTTGCAACTAGAGTCTAGAGCTTAGACGCCTCTGGCATTGAGTCACGGCGCACTCCGCGGCAATCTGGATCTTGAGGAAAGATGTCGCTGAACCACTGATCCCCAACAGCCGGCCACCTAACCTGTCAGGGAGTCGGATTCACAAGTGCGGCATTTGGCAGCCTTGTCATTGCAATCATGGCCGTGTGTCCGTCTGAGATGTGTAGAACCCTCCAAGGTGTGGTTGCAAGACAAGTAGCCCAGCCAAGTACTGAAGCTTATGAGTTTTCAATGGACTACATGCTCGAATGCCCTTGCACACAAGGGGTCCACTGACATTCCACATGAATTCTCATGCCAAGCCCCTACGCTGCTCCATCTCCACAAGCGGATGCCAGCAACTTCCAGGTCTGAGGCTGGAGATGCTTCGCAAAGCGCCTCGGCTCACAAAGGGGTCCTGTCTCTTCTTCTATTGGGTTTAGGGGTTTAAAATTTAGGCTCCTTTCAGGGGTACCCGGCAGTTGCAATAGGCCTGGATGCAGGGTTTAGGGTTTGGGGTTTAGGGTTTAGGGTTTAGGTTTCGCCGACATCTGTCTGGGTTGATTGTTTTTTCGACTGTATCTGTAGCTGCCCGAGAGCCGCCCAGTACATTCGTCTGTAGTCTCATGCACCATTCAGCCGCTACTCCGCTGATCTTAAGCCCACCACACACGAAGGCCAAGCTTGAGGCGCTCATCTCGCTCTGCAAGGCCGTGCTGCTCCTTTCTGAAAATTTCGGGTTTAGGGTTTGGGGTTCAAGGTTTAGGGGTTTAGGGTTTTTAGCGTCCTGGTTGAGTCGCTGCAAACCAGATGCAAAAAGGGTTTAGGGTTTAATGATTCAAGAGCCTTGTCACCAGGCCTTTGACAAGATGAGGGATCTGCGGCGCTCGCGTCTGGAAAGCCTAGATCTTCTCTCCGAGGCGGGAGTCGCAGGTGCTTGACCTGAATCCTGCGTTGAGGAAGTGTCAGGTTCACGGTATCTTACTGCGGCATATGGCACATGGCAGAGTTTTCTAAACTCTTGGGGCCCGGTGTTAAAAAAGTTGGCTCTGCCCATTCGGCTGTCGTAGTCTTGACTCTCCCTTGCGGTTGTGGCAGGCTGATGGCGGCGGCGAACTGCCCATCATCTACCAGGTATCACCGTTGCAGGCACGCCTGCTTTTCCCAACTACTGGATTGCCCGCAGGAGCCAGACAGTGACTTGGTCGACACTCACGCAACTCATGAGGAGGCCGGCTCTGTCACCAAGCTAAGCTTCAAGCTGTTGTGCTGACAGTCGGTTAGCAACGGTTAGCAGCGATGCGGGTTTGTTAAGTGCTACAGGATGCAAGAGATTTTGGGCATTTTTTTGTCGGCGGTTCGAGGCGAAGAAGCTGCTCGGGCAGCACGACAAGCGGCAGGTACTTCCAACAGGAGAGCGGTTGATGTGAGGAGCTTGGCTTGTGGGCACGCTGCTCCTATTGTGAACACTGTAGAGGAGGCGTACGCATTGTCCGCCGTCTGGGCCGGCCGTCCAATGAGCACCTGACAAACTTCGTCCGCCAAAACAGCGGAGCCGCTTGCCTGCGTCCTAAGCCCTAGGCTGTCCTTGGCTTATTGCTAGCTAAGCATGCCAAGAATTAGTTGTGCCCTTCCTCAGCCTTTGCACTGCGACCTCCTTGATGAATAGATCCACCTTTCGTCGATCACTTGCCCTGTCCAGGTAAACGCTGCGACGAAACCGCAAAGGAAGCAGCCAAGAATGGTCGATTAAGACAAGGACGTTTTCACGTTCGTCTGTAAATGTTCTCAGGATGGGGAAAATAGCCAAGACCTGTCAACAAGACTGGCACGCGCGAGGAAGGCTTGCTGCTCCAGAGTAAAACATGAGCGGGCCACCAGACATGTCGTTGTTGGCTGCATGCTGAAAGCAATCAAAGCTGAGTTCTACGGTGCATGACTGTTTGGGTAGATTGAATGCTGCCGAGATGCCTATCATGCAGCAAAATCATCAGCCATGCCACTACTCAGACCGTGTAGACCTCCTGCACTTGCAAACGCCGAATCAATCTCCGTGTTACGCGATGAAGTAGCACACCCTCGAGAGTGACGGTTGTTCCCGAAGCCCTTGCCATGCTCTGTGCCCTCATGGCGCTCCTCGCAACCACTCTCGCAAAAGGATCCGAGGTCACACCTGAGGCCAGACAGCGGCAGCCAGCGGCCAGCACTAATTCTCTGATCTGCGCACTTGTGGGCAGGTGTTGGCGGCTCGGCAGTGGCGAACCTGGGGAGGGCCAGGCCAAGCGGTGTTTTGTTTTGCTCGCTGGCACCGAGTGGTGTCGAGACTAGGTGGCGAAATGGCAAACGCCGGCCCCGCTTCGTTGAATCCTGTCGTGAAGCCTGGGGACACCATATACCTGAGGCTCGTCGTGGAACTTGCTGGGATTGCTTTTGCCTTTACTTCGTCAGCTTTTCAAAGGGCCTACAATGGGAAGCTCCTCGGAGTTCGGGCCCTAACAGATTTGCCTTGGGCTCTTAGAAAACATCGCCGATGTTGCCATGCAGATCCACGACTTCCAAGTCGGAGCCCACTCGTCCGAGAAGGCACCGAAAAAATCACGGGAAGCCTCGGATCAGCTCAGAGGGTCCCAAGAAGTCCTTTTTTTGGCGCGCTCGCCAGGCCTCTGGTCAAGCCTTCAAGGTGGAGAAGCGGTCCGTTGGCGATGTCTACCATGGTGACAGGACCGACAGACCTTGATGTACAAGCCTAGCGGCTGCCTGCAGACCCAGCATGGTGGAGGATATTCCTGACCAACACAAACGGTTTCAAGCTGGAGGTGAACGGAGATGAGGCTGCGGACCAGTCGCCGACAGCTGCATCCAAGGAAGGATGTGGGGATGAGAGCTGAAAGGTCAGTGCTCGAGGAGCCCACATGGGCCCCCGACAAGAATTCGTCGTCGAGCACTCCGGGGCACTTCCTCGACCCATTGCTCGCCCCTTATGTCCAAGGCTAATGCTGCTGGTGCTGCTACCCTGCCGTTCCTGATGCCAGCATGCCTGCTAAGGCGGTAGGAGACACGATTTTCCTTCGAGCACATACCGGGAAACACATTGCAGCTTGTCTGCAGCGAGTCTTTCCGTGTCTAGCCATGACTCGTGAACTGGAGCACTTGTCCTCAGGACGTGGTTGGGCAGAGTGTGCAGGCGCGCTACGTGCGACAGGCCAGCCAGGAGGAGCGCAGCCCGAGTCGCCCCAGTGATTGACTTTGTCAGGGAATGGGCTACCATGCCTTCAAGGTCGAGAAGCAGCCCAGATAGCACGGCACCACGTCGAAGCCATAGTGTCACCTTAACTGGAGCGCAGGTAGGAGACAGGATTAGGACCAGTGTTACGACTGGACCTCGAATGATGCTCAGAGCAGCTGTTTGACAGAAATGACGCCTGCGGGTTTATGGGCCTATGGGCATGATCTCCATGGATTCCTGCACGGTCACTGCAAAGCAGGGGAGCTGCTTTGGTTCGAGTGCACCACCAGTGAGCCCGTCGATAGCCTCCCTGACCCGGAGACTGAGCCTATCACGACACTTCACCGCTTGTACTTGAGAGGTCATATTGGCTGATTTTCTCGGGAACAGAAGCAACTGTTCATGTATACCATGTTGCAGAAAGAGACAGCAAGTTTATCAGCCAAGCTTCATTAGCTGCCGGTGCGGATGTCGGAAAGCTTCTCCTGGTCGAAGAACGCCGTGTGGGCAGCGAGCAGCCTGCGAGCCCGTGCTGCGGCAATCACAGGGCTGCCGCTTGTGCCAAGGGCCGGCGAGGCTTGTCGAAGCAATAAGCTTTAGGCCAGCTTCCTCTGCTTCCAAAGCTGCCACGAGGCATGGGAGGTCGACTTGGAGGCAGCCGTTTGGAAGTGCCGTGCACAAAATGTCGCATCTTGTCCGCTCGCGAGATCTAGGGATGAAGTCGTTCGAAAATATCAGCACGGCCCCGCGGCCCAGCAGGGAAAAAGTCGATGTCGAAAAAAGGTCATCTAGTTTGCTGACTTTGCTGTGTAGATTTCGTGTATAAGAAGTATTTCTGGAGACGGCTTTGAGAAACAAGAGTGAGAGACGAAACCCGCCCATCAGTGTGTGCTGTGTGACCTGCGGACAAAGGCAGAAGTTGACCTTGAAGCGGGCTTACCCTGGCGCGGCCGCCCGGTCGTCTCCCATGTCTCCGCTAGCAGCAGACGCCGCTTGGACTTGGACTAGGGGAACTGAAGGACAGCTAAGGCTAGCAGAGTGCTTGCGTGAAGGGGGGACTGAGAAAGCAGATAGAGTGTCGCAAAAGAGGGTTCTGTTTTGTCAGATGTTGATGCAGTTTAGCAATGAAGATGATGACATGTGATGACGGCCGACGGGCCTTGCAGCAGCACGTGGCCTCCCGTAACCTACAGTTAGCACAGTGTTCGGATCGCAGGGCGAGACTTGTTTGGTTGGAACTAACACTCAGCTCTTTGCGGCTGATGGGATATCACGCTCGCAATCAGAGCTGCCGTGAGTTGCATTTTTCAGATATGTGGCAGACAGGTACACCCACGCCCCGGCGAGCCAGGGGGAAGAGCCAGCCTAAGTCGAGGCCACCGTGCTGTCAAGTCAATCAGTGCTTGGACGGCTGAAGGCGAGCGTGAAATTTGCCAGGCCGGCGCATCGCCCAAGAGCGCAGACTCCCCGAAGAAGCAGCACTCCAGTGGGGAAGCAGTCTGAGGCAGAGGTACCAGCCCCAGCGACCCTTCCCGAAGTCTCCGAAAGAGCCGTGCCGTCGGCCACACCCCCTACCGGCCCTGCCGAATCGGCCTCGGGAACGGGACGCAGCCCAAGCACTTCCAGCAAAGAAGTGCCGGCGGAGGTTCCGAACACCTCCAACGTAGAGACGAAAGCTGCGACTGGTCCGAGCGAGCCTCCTGCACAGGAGGCAGCCGCGGCCTCTAAAGTTGCACCAGACGGCAACCAACAAGTGCAAGGCGTCCGGGAGTTGCCCCAGCTTCCGGCTGCAGATGCACCAAAATCACCAAAGCAGGCAATACCAAAAGCGCCAGAAGTTCCGAAGCCCAAAGCTGCCCCAGCTCGGAAGTATTCTACCCCACGGCCAGATCTCAATAAGGAGCACCAGCAGAGTCCGGAGACCTCTGCACCCAAGGATGGGCCGGAAGCGGAGCCGAAGAGCGATGCAGAACCCTCTTCAGATAAGAGTGTCAGCAAAGCTCTGGACACTGCACCCAATCCTCCGCAGACAGCCAAACTACAGGCTTCCGTGCCTTCAAGACACACCCGCTCGTTTGAGCCCATCGCGCCTACTGCAGGAACCGCGCCACCCTGTGTGGCGCCGGTTTCCGTCACGTTGCGAACTGCAGGGCTTGGCAAGAGCGCGCATGCGATCACCGTCGCGGCGCCTTCGCCTGCCAAGGCCAAGGCCTTCGCCCGAAATTCGCAAGGAGACCATCCGCTTGGTGCACACTTGGATAAACCTCAGGAGGAGACTCCCCGAAGATCAGAATCCGCTGACAGCTGCAAGAGCGAGAAGCTAGCAGTCCCCACCAAGAACAAGGAACGGCTAGGCCCGCTGTCAGACAGCGCGTTGTTGGACAGGTGAAGATGCAAATGTCACGTTTCTTTCAGTGTGCCTTCGCATGCAGGCATGCTGCAATGTGGCGGCTGCAAGAGAGCACCTGTCAGATCTTCGTGGCGGGAAGGCTTAGGAGGTGCCAAATTGATGCTTTCATTTCCCCATCGCATCTGCGCTACCTTTGGCTTTGGAGGTGCAGTGGCTGTGCCAACATTGCCCACCAGTTGGGCAACTGACCTTCCTGATTCGGGCATCGAAGCAGGTGCAATAGCCGACTGGATGGAGGCCTTTGCTGCTTCAACCCACCTGTACTGCGAAGAGTTCGTATTTCCCAAGCCGGTTCGTGTCCTACACAGTTTTGCATAGACGGCATCTCTGACAGGGACGTCTGTCATGGCATGGCTGCTTCTGCCGAATTCTGGATGCTTTGCGAAGATATATCCCCCCAGATGCGGGAGAGTGTCCCGGTGGCATCATCAAGCAGTGTTATCAGTTCTTCGTCTCTGCGTCCGATCGTTGCTGCTGGCCAGGGGATCTGGCAAGGTTGCTGAGGACGCAGCAGCAGACATTGGTCTGCAGGCCAGCATCGCCGTGCAAGACACGGGTGCTTGCGGTTGCTTGCGTACAGTTGCATAGGTGGATAGATAAATAGATAAAAGACTAGGAGGACCTCTTCGAATAGGTGGTTGCTGGTGGGGGGGGGGGGGCGCCGTTGGATTGTTTCATCGTGGGGTGGGTCGGAAAAATCGGTGTGAATCTATGCTTTGCGGAATTTGCGCGCATCTCTCTGCAAAGCCTTCCTGCACTGCCGAACACGGGAAGGCATAGGTGAGATTGCAGTGGATGCAGGCGCGGGATTGTGAAACTCGTGCATCAGGGGCCACATGAGCATAAACCGTCGGGTGCCCCCGTTTCCCTTCCAGGAACTGCACGAGACTCCATGGCATCATATGGTACAGTACAGACAACTAGTTGGGTGTTGGCGGGCTTGTGGTTCTTGTGCATCAGGGTCCACGTAGACCGTAGAGTGGCCCCGTTCCTTTTACCCAAGTATCTACACACAAACTGCACGAAACTCCATCTCAACTGGGGCTGGGGTCTGAGTCTAGAAGATTCCAGAAGCAGGGTAGCACAGCTTTTTCAGTGGGTTCATCATGTCGTTGCTGCCACGGGTCTCTGTGTATCGACTGGCGGTCCCAGCTGGCATGAATTACGTGAGTTGGCAGCTGATCGTCAGCGTTGGGCTAGTCATCAACAGGCTGTGGCGGATCTATACTGCCAGACACCTCATTATGCAAAAGCTTCTACTGACTGGGTGTCGAAGTGGCGACATGCTCTTACTCATGAGTGCCACTGGGGATTGTGTTTGTTCGTGCAGTGGAGCCCGCAGTCTGTGACTGCCATCTGGTTGGATGTCACAGAAGGGTGGCAATGCTTGTCTTTTGAGCCGGCTTCGGATATGTTCAATGTTCTGGAAGTTGTGCTTTGCTATCTGCGCTACGTAGGCCACTGGCTTTCCTTTCAAGTTCTCCTCCCGCAAGATACCTTTGATCTCTTTGAGCGTACTTTATATGATGTCACCGTCAAGCTATATGCAAAATTTCAGAAAGTTG